CAAATATTACGTTAAAGACCTATAAGAGGATATCAGAGAGATGCATCATCCTGGCCCTGGGAAAAAGAGGAGGGTTTTATGACTTTTATCGTTAAACCCCAATCCAAATCTTCGCGACCCGAAACAGATTCTTGTTCAGAACCTGTTACTAGATTGAACCGAAGCGATAAGGTGAGATTTTTCTTTTTATTTCCTGTACTCAAATTTCTTAATTTTTTGGTCGTAGAAGACTTATCAGGAGTTTCAATTCACAGGTTTGAGTCTCAAAAATGGAGCCCAAGCTTCTTCTTTCTGCACATAAGCCTTTGTTTGTCTCTTGCAACTCTCCGTTCAATGAAAAAACCAATATTTCTGTCAAATCCGGTTTGCCCATGTCCACAATTCGAGCTGCGAGGTCTCAGTTTATGGGGGAAGGTTTGATTTTGGGGAACAAATACGGATTTTGGAGTGCTTCTAGGAAAACTCGTCTTGTTGTTGAGCCTGTGAGAGCTGCTGTGAAGAGAAGGAAAGAGCTTACTTTCGATAGCGTTGTTCAAAGGGATAAGAAACTTAAGTTAGTGTTGAACATTAGGAAGATTCTTGTGAGTCAACCTGATAGGATGATGTCTCTTAGGGGTTTGGGTAAATACAGGAGAGATTTGGGTTTGAAGAAACGTCGTCGGTTTATAGCTCTGCTTAGGAAATATCCTGGTGTGTTTGAGATTGTTGAAGAAGGAGCTTATTCTTTGAGATTTAAGATGACATCAGAAGCTGAAAGGCTGTACCTTGAGGAAATGAGAATTAGGAATGAGCTTGAAGATGTACTAGTTGTTAAGTTGAGGAAATTGGTGATGATGTCTATCGATAAACGGATATTATTGGAGAAAATTTCCCATTTGAGGACTGATTTAGGACTTCCTTTAGAGTTCCGCGACACGATTTGTCAGCGTTACCCGCAATATTTCCGTGTGGTTCCTACACCTAGAGGTCCGGCTTTAGAGCTAACTCACTGGGATCCTGAGCTTGCAGTGTCAGCTGCTGAGTTATCTGAAGATGATAATAGGACTAGAGAGTCAGAAGAGAGGAATTTGATTATTGATAGACCACCTAAGTTCAATAGGGTTAAGCTTCCAAGGGGTCTCAATCTTTCAAAAAGTGAGACGAGGAAGATATCTCAGTTCCGTGACATGCGGTATATATCTCCTTACAAGGATTTCTCCCACTTGAGGTCGGGAACACTCGAGAAAGAAAAGCATGCTTGTGGGGTTATTCATGAGCTTTTGAGCTTGACGACTGAGAAAAGAACGTTGGTGGATCACTTGACTCATTTCCGTGAGGAATTCAGATTCTCGCAACAACTTAGAGGAATGCTTATAAGGCACCCTGATCTCTTCTATGTGTCTTTAAAAGGAGAAAGAGACTCGGTTTTCTTACGAGAAGCTTACAGGAACTCTGAATTGATAGATAAAGATCCTCTAACTCTTGTGAAAGAGAAGATGCGTGCACTTGTTTCTGTACCGAGGTTCCCTAGGAGAGGAGGACCCAGGAAAGAAGAAGAAGGAAGAGACGAAGAGATGGATGGAAGCGATGCAGAGGGTGAGGAGGAAGAAGAAAGTGATGCTGAAGAATGGTCTGATGTTGATGGTTACTTGGAAGGTGAAGATGGTGGCAATGATGATGATGGTGATTGGACTGATGACGAAGAAGAAGAAGATGTACCTCCTAACTTTGATGATGATGAAGAAGAAGAAGATAGCGTGAAGATTGGATTGAGTCCTTCAAATAGAAAATCAAGTAGTCCTAAAAAGAAAGAAGAGAAAGTACTTACTCCTGTTTTCCCTGATGGTACTCCAAGGGAAAAATGGTAAAGCTTTCTTGAAGATGTTTACTTGTCTTGTATCATTCTTGAAGATGAACACTAATAGCTCAAGTTTATGTATGTTGTTGTTGCTTTGGTTGTAAGAACACATGAGAATGATGTTTAATCTTCCGCAAGTGAATCTTAAACATATAAAACGCTGCGTTTTGAGTTCGTAATGAAATAAAACGGATAGGTCCGTCCTCTTATCCGGAAACTGTGAAGTGAATAAAATGGAGAACTTCTCTCTAACTTTCCGCCATTGTTACAGCTCCTTGTTTCTTCATCAGTCACAGCGAAGATATCTTCTTAATCATTATTCTTCGGCTTGTTTTTCTCTGGACATCAAACATGCGTCGTTTGAATCTATACCAATCTCAATTTCTCTGGAACCGTCGTCTTCAAGTTGGGATTTTCATCCGTTGAAGGAGCTAAATGGTTGCAAAAATCTGGTTTCTGTTAAAGCTACTCATGCTCGGATGATGAAGTTAATCGATCGATTTGAATTGGAGTTCATCTCTAAGTGCTTGATCACTCGTTACCTTGAATTCGGAGAATTTGGATATGCCAGTGCTGTGTTCTTCCTGGGATTCCCAAGGAATCAAGTTTCATGGAGGGATTTCTTGGAAAAGGCTGAGGATTTCGGAGTAGAGAAGTATAAGGTCTTAGAGGAATTTGTTCGGCTACAGAACAAAGGAGTAAATTTCGATGAAGTAGTTCTCGCTATGGTTTTCAGAATTTGTGCTGTTCTAATGTATCGGTTTCTGGGTTTCACTATCCATGGTGGTTTGATCAAGAGAGGCCTCGATAATTCAGACACACGAGTGGTTTCTGCGTTGATGGGTTTCTATGGAAGATGTGTGAGTTTGGATCTTGCTAACAAGATATTCGATGAAATGCCTAAAAGAGATGATCTTGCATGGAACGAGATCGTAATGGTAAACTTGCAGAGTGGGAATTGGGAAAAGGCTGTGAAACTGTTCAGAGTGATGCGGTTTTCTGGTGCAAAAGCTTATGATAGTACGATGGTTAAGCTTTTGCAAGTTTGTAGCAACAAGGAAGGTTTTGCACAAGGGAGACAGATTCATGGGTATGTTCTGAGATTGGGGTTTGAATCAAATGTGTCCATGTGTAACTCCTTGATTGTCATGTACTCGAGGAATGGCAAGCTTGAATCATCCAGGAAAGTTTTTAATTCGATGGTAGACCGGAATTTGTCTTCGTGGAACTCGATTGTATCGAGTTATACGAGACTTGGTTATGTAGATGATGCTATGGGTCTCCTGGACGAGATGGAGACATGTGGTCTGAAACCAGATATAGTGACATGGAACTCTCTTTTGTCAGGTTATGCTTCTAAAGCCTTATCCAGAGATGCCATTGCGGTATTGAAGAGAATACAAATTGCTGGTCTGAAGCCAAACACGAGCTCAATTAGTAGTCTTCTTCAAGCTGTTTATGAACCAGGGCTTGTTAAACTTGGAAAAGCGATTCACGGATATGTAATAAGAAATCAGCTTTGGTATGATGTTTATGTAGAAACCACTTTGATCGACATGTATATTAAAACTGGCTACTTGCCTTACGCCCGGATGGTTTTTGATATGATGGATGAGAAGAACATTGTTGCTTGGAATTCACTCATCTCGGGACTTTCGTACACCGGTCTGCTAAAGGAAGCTGAAGCGTTAATAAGTAGAATGGAAAAGGAAGGGATCAAATCTAATGCTGTTACATGGAACAGTCTGGTTTCTGGGTATGCGACTTGGGGAAAAACTGAGAAAGCTTTGGCTGTAGTAGGGAAGATGAAAAAGAACGGGGTGGAGCCTAATGTGGTTTCATGGACTGCAATCTTGTCGGGGTGTTCCAAAAATGGAAACTTTGGGAATGGTCTCAAAATTTTCTTGAAAATGCAGGAAGAAGGTGTCTCTCCAAACTCAGCTACCATATCCAGCTTGCTTAGGATATTAGGGTGCTTGAGTCTATTATACAGTGGCAAAGAGGTTCACAGCTTCTGTCTAAAGAACAATTTGACCCGCGATGCACATGTTGCAACTGCACTAGTAGATATGTACGCAAAATCAGGGGATCTGCAAAGCGCGGCTGAGATTTTCTGGGGCATTAAGAACAAACCACTAGCTTCTTGGAATTGTATGATCATGGGTTATGCCATGTTTAGGCGAGGCGAAGAAGGGATTGCGGTTTTCAATGCGATGCTTGAAGCGGGCATTGAACCTGATGCTATAACGTTTACCTCTGTCTTGTCTGTTTGTAAGAACTCAGGTCTTGTCCGAGAAGGATGGAAATACTTTGATCTTATGAGGTCTCATTATGGTGTTATCCCGACAATCGAACACTGCTCTTGCATGGTAGAATTGCTCGGGAGATCGGGTTATCTTGATGAAGCCTGGGACTTTATCCGAACAATGCCATTAAAACCCGATGCAACTATTTGGGGTGCATTTCTTTCATCTTGTAAGATCCATAGAGACCTAGAACTAGCGGAAATCGCTTGGAAGAGGCTTCAAGTACTAGAACCACACAATTCAGCTAACTACATGATGATGATAAACTTGTACAGTAATTTGAACAGATGGGGAGATGTTGAACGCATACGGAACTCAATGAGCAATAATAGGGTGAGAGTCCAGGATCTGTGGAGCTGGATTCAGATCGATCAAACGGTTCACATCTTCTATGCAGAGGGAAAAGCACATCCGGATGAAGGAGAGATATACTTTGAGCTATACAAATTAGTCTCTGAGATGAAGAAATCAGGTTATATGCCAGACACAAGATGTATACACCAAAACGTAAGTGAATCAGAGAAAGAGAAGCTGCTTATGGGACATACAGAGAAGTTAGCAATGACTTATGGCCTTATCAAGAAGAAAGGCATAGCTCCTATAAGAGTGGTCAAAAACACAAATCTATGTTCCGATTGCCACACTGTAGCCAAATACATATCGGTTTTAAGAAACCGTGAAATTGTTTTACAAGAGGGGGCAAGAGTTCATCATTTCAGAGACGGAAAATGTTCCTGCAACAACTCTTGGTGATAATATAGATAGTCACTAGCTCTGTTTTTTCTTACAATGGTGCGTAAATAAAGACACTGTCCAACAAACAGCAGAAAACAAATTACATCAAAACTTTCGCTGCAGGCTCGAAAATGGCCTATGGAGTGGATCTGAGCAAAGCAGCAGAGAAGCATGATGTGATCATGCTTCTATATACCTAAATGACCAGACTAAAGAATTTATTAGTGGAAGATTCTAAACGCACTGGATCTTTCTTCCTTCACTGAGTTTGTACGTGGGACTAATCGAGCCATATCTCCAAAGGTTACTTCTCTCCATATCTTCAAAGGTTGGTTGCTGTATGATTCTTCTCTCTGTATCCATTGGAAGTGTTACAGAAAGTGGCGATGGAATTGGTAATGTCCTGAGCAGCCAATCTTTCAGAGACACAAGCCAAGGATTTGAGGTTACACTTTATGAGTGATTCCACGAAGTAACATGTATCATCTTTGGTGTTGCCTTGAGGAACATCCACAACAAAAGACTCAATCACCATAGTTCCTGACCTTCCATCGATCATCTCCGGATGTACAGTCAAGATCGACGAGTAATTCTGCGGAATCAAACAAAAGCCATTATAGCAACTGCCAATGTTTATGAAATCTTGAAAAAGCTATTGAGAGAATTTTGGATATATTAACCTTAAGTCTGTGATCACCACCAATGATGTTGATACCGAGAATGTGTTCTTCATCATCAAGCTGTTCCAATCTCTCGGTACTGGTAGTCGCAGGAAGACCAGATTTGACATTAACTTGTCTGAGACAACCGATCTCAGGATCACCATTAACAGTGCATCTGCTTATAAATGGTTTGTATTTCTGCGGCTGATCAAATCTCCGCACAAGTGACCAAACCTGAGTCATGTATATTTATATACACCATCGTTAGCTTGTAAAACTAAGAGAGACCAACAAGTCCCTAAATCCAGCTAATTTCAATTCACAGCGAATCGTAAAAGAATAAACTAAAAAATCGAAACAAAAATAGAAAGATCAGAACCCTAAATCGGGCAAAACAATTTCAACAAAATTCGTAATGAAAATAAAGAAAACAGAGGGTGAGAGAGAATAGAAGAGCGTACGAGATGAACAGGAGCTTTGATGTATTTGACGAGAACAGAGGTACACTGGTTGTCGCTGCAATGATGACGATGATGCAACCTTAAAGACTGCGCCGTCACCAGAGCTCCGTACATCTCTCTATCGTCTCCTCCGGTCATCTCCATCTTCCGACCAGATATCTCTAATCTTGTTGAGAGTGGATAAAATAGAACCAAATAAAGTAAAGAAAATGACTTTTTATGGGTTTATTTTTGTTTTGGTTGGTTTGGCTCAAAATCAACGAACACACACCGACATATATTAATCCAACAACGGAACCGACAAATCTTTAAGATAGATTACGTGTCTTAGTTTAATTGGTTTGTCGTCTACCTTTTTGGATTAGCTATTGACTTTAAGCACGTGTTTATACTCTCTTCTCCTGCCAAATAAGCTTCCCAATTTTGACGACACCTATCTATCTCCCAAATATGTTCTCATCTTCTCTAAACATTTAAACTATAGCTGATGTCAGCATGAGATCACAAAAAAAAAAAAACAGAAACATGATTATTTGGCAGCAAAATTCATTATCCAAAAGATATATATATATATTTGAAACTCTGTTTTGACGTGTGAGTGCGTCTAGCGATTTACACGTTCCACATGACCGTCTTCATTACCGCAAACGCTTTCGCCATATTAGCTTTAGCCGTTTCCATCGTCTCCTCAGCTTCTTGCACCATATCTGCCGCCATTGTCGCCGTTTCTGCCGCCTTTGTCGCCATAGCCGCCACTTTTTCCACCATTCTTTCAATCTCCTCCACCATTTTTACAGCCTTTTCCGATATTCCCCTCGCGCCATCCGCCATTGTCGATGCCTTTTCCAACATTACTCTCACTTCCTTCACCATGGCTACAGAGAAACATCACCGAGCGTTTTGTAAGAGTAGGTTTTTTTTGGTGTCAAAACAGAGAATTTGGCGTTTTAACAAACCTCTGGCTTTCTCACGTTCTTCATCTATTCTTTCCTTGATCTCCACGGCTGTGTTGAAAACCCCTAGAGTTGGCTCGTTACACACAAAACAATTATCGTTCTCAGTTTGATGCTGCATCATGAAAGAAAACAACAAGGAAGGTCTGTTTCAAAAATTAGCTAAACCAGTCACGAGACTTGTTGAAGATTAGATAATGTAACCTTTAGAGCACACTTGTCACAAAAGTAATGGTTGCATTTGGTGACAACAGGATCCATGAATGGTTTTTTGCAAATGGAACATGCTAATGGCAATGCATCATTTTCCTCCGTTGGCTCAAAGTCAGTTTCAAGCTTCCTCGATGTTGCTTTTTTGACCTTCTTCTCTAGTTTCTCTAATCTGGAGCTTTCGTTTTTCGAATCTTCATCTTTGTCTACATCAAGACCTCTTTTCTTCAAGTTTTTAGTCATTTCATCTTCTCGAGTCTCTGTTTCTTGCTCAGCAAGTTGAGATTCTTCCTCTGACGTTTTAGCTTCACCAGAATCTGACATTGTTGATCAGATTAACGAGTCTGAAAATTTACCAAATACGCATCAGGATCAAATATCTAAATCTAAACATCTACAGCATTCCAATCTCGATCATCAGATTTGATGACAAATCATAAACACTAGAGATCTGATTACCAAATTTAGTTTGAAAATAAAACAAAGAAACATTATTTCACCTAAGCGCAACCTAATTCTAATCAATACTTGACCTAATTAAAACCCTAGTTTTTAGATGAATCTAGCTAGGGAATGTAGAAATCAACCTTTTACTGAAAATGGCGGCAAAGTTTCTGACATCTAAAGAAAGAACAGAGACAAGAAAATTTGAAAATAAGGAACAGATAGCTAGCCTCTCCTTAAGAATAGAGCAGTGATGATCGGAAAATTACGCCGGGAATAATAACACCGACGTTGACGACGTCTTCCGATTGCGAGAAGCCGACAACTACGGTGAGAAAATATGAAGAAGAAAGAAGTTACAAAAATATTTGGGACAGTCAACAGTTAGTTTTACGCTTGGGCTTTTATTAGGAGTAGGCCCATTAAATGTTTTCGGATGAAACCTAGTTTTGACTTTTAATTAATATTTCCCTCTCTTTTTGTCTTTTATTGTAACAATTTCGAAGAAACTGCCATTGATGGAGTCTCCATTTTCCAGCGCCATGCCAAGCTTGACTACAATGAAAACTTATTTGACTGCTTGAAAAAAATTCAGAGAATTTTCCAATTTCAGTTCATCGGAAAATTCTTACTATCATTTTTCTTAATCACTGCTGATCCGTTACTTTCGTCGTACGTTCTGGTAAGTTTCGGAGATAAGAGCGATATCAATGTTTAATTTCTTAGTTTCCGTTTCTTCTTCTTCTTCTTCGTTTGATTTTTCTTCTGTAACTGTAAACTTCGGGATAGAAAAATTAAAGAGATAAAATTGATGTGTTACTGTCTCTCGTCGGCAGTTATTTTTTGGTCCTGTAATTTCCAGGTTTTTATTGAACAAGATTTGAAAGCTAGCTTTAATCGGAACCCTAATTTTTGTTTCTGTTTTTTGGGAACTGTTCTTATGATTCAGGATCCGTTGACGAATAGCAAAAAGCTTGACTTATGGCTTTTGGCCGCGACAATCGTGTAAGGTTGTTGGTTGCTTGCTTTTAGGCCTAGAAAGCCTTTAGATCACTTGAGTTATAAAAAAAAAATCTCTGTCTTTTTTTTTTTCTTTTTCTTAAGAATCATTTCACCGTGTTTTTGGAAGATTCTCAGAGAAAAGGTTGTTTTGTTGATGATTTTTTGTTTAGGTTCAGAGATTGGATTTCAGAAGGATCATTAACCACAGAGTATGGTTACGGAAGAAAAGTTAGACCATCTCTAAACACAGTTTTGAAGAATGTTCGTAGAGGGTTTGAGAAAGGTTCTGATAAAATCAGGACTTTTAAGAAAAGAGATTCTAGCACCACCACAGATAAGAAGAATATTATAAACCCACAAGGCTCTTTTTTGCAGAACTGGAACAAAATCTTTCTTTTTGCTTCTGTGATTGCTTTGGCCATTGATCCATTGTTTTTCTATATTCCTATTGTTGATGGAGAAAGAAACTGCCTTAATTTGCATCATAACTTGGAGGTAGCAGCTAGTGTGCTTCGTACGTTTATAGATGCCTTCTACATCATTCACATTGTGTTTCAGTTTAGAACTGCTTATATCTCTCCTTCTTCTCGGGTTTTCGGAAGAGGCGAGTTGGTTGATGATCCTAAAGCTATAGCCATTAAGTACCTCTCCTCCTACTTCATCATCGATGTTCTTTCTATCCTTCCACTCCCACAGGTAAAAATGACTAGCTACTTGTGACCTTGCTAATGGTTCCTTGATGGTTCTTTAACATTCTCTTGTTTCTTCTGCAGCTTGTAGTCTTAGCTGTTATCCCCAATGTCAACAAGCCGGTCTCTTTGATCACTAAGGACTACTTGATTACTGTCATATTTGCTCAATACATTCCAAGGATTCTTCGTATTTATCCACTTTACACTGAAGTTACAAGAACATCTGGCATAGTTACTGAAACCGCTTGGGCTGGAGCTGCTTGGAACCTATCTCTCTATATGTTAGCCAGTCATGTGTTTGGAGCCTTATGGTACTTAATATCAGTAGAACGAGAAGACAGATGCTGGCGTGAAGCTTGCGAGAAGATACCAGAAGTATGTACCTTTAGATTTCTCTACTGCGATGGAAACACTAGTGTTAGAAACGATTTCCTGACAACCTCGTGCCCGTTTATCAACCCTGATGATATAACGAATTCAACGGTCTTCAACTTTGGCATCTTTACTGATGCTTTAAAGAGTGGGATTGTTGAATCAGATGATTTCTGGAAGAAGTTCTTCTACTGCTTCTGGTGGGGTCTGCGTAATTTAAGGTTTGTAACTCTTTTTCTAGTTAGACACTTGATCGCTGGCTAAGATATGATGAGCCCTGCCTCTCTAGTCTCTTGTTGAATCTTTAACCAGATATATGCATCAAACACTAATCTGATGATCACTTGCTTTTACTCGCTCGCTGCAGTGCATTGGGACAAAATCTCAATACGAGCAAATTCGTTGGGGAAATCATATTTGCTGTATCAATTTGCATATCTGGACTAGTCTTATTCGCACTACTTATCGGCAATATGCAGGTAAATCCTTTAATTGTCTTCTTTTCCATCACACACTTAATCCACAAGGAAGAGAAAACAGTACTCATGTTTCCACTTTGCATTACAGAAATACTTGGAATCGACAACAGTTAGGGAAGAGGAGATGAGAGTGAGAAAAAGAGATGCAGAGCAATGGATGTCTCATCGAATGTTACCCGATGACTTGAGGAAACGTATCAGAAGGTATGAGCAATACAAATGGCAAGAAACTAGAGGAGTCGAAGAAGAAAACCTTCTGCGTAATCTCCCTAAAGACCTCAGGAGAGACATCAAACGCCACTTTTGCCTCGATCTTCTCAAGAAAGTAAGTGCTTCTAGTTCCAGCTTCTCTCTTAGATCATCTAATTGATATTACATTCAAATAATCTTTGATCGAATCAAATATAGGTACCTCTGTTCGAGATAATGGATGAGCAATTGCTAGATGCCGTGTGTGACAAGCTAAAACCCGTGCTCTACACTGAGAACAGCTATGCAATTCGAGAAGGAGACCCAGTGGAGGAGATGTTGTTTGTTATGAGAGGAAAACTGATGAGTGCCACCACAAACGGTGGCCGGACCGGCTTCTTTAACGCCGTATACCTAAAACCTAGTGACTTTTGCGGCGAAGATCTTCTCACATGGGCATTGGATCCTCAATCTTCGTCTCATTTTCCGATTTCGACGAGAACAGTTCAAGCTTTAACTGAAGTAGAAGCCTTTGCTTTAGCAGCAGATGATCTTAAGCTCGTCGCTTCACAATTCAGACGACTCCATAGCAAACAGCTTCAACATACTTTCAGGTTTGGTCTCTTTTGACCGATCTCTGTTTCTCTGATTTCCGGTTCTGTTTGGTTTAACTCGGTTTTAATGTCAGGTTTTATTCGGTACAATGGAGAACTTGGGGTGCGTCTTTTATACAAGCGGCGTGGCGGAGACATTGCCGGAGGAAACTAGCTAGGTCATTAACCGAAGAAGAAGATCGATTCCGAAACGCAATCGCAAAACGCGAACGCGATGCGGCGTCTTCGTCCAGCCTGGTTGCAACGTTATACGCGTCGCGGTTTGCTTCAAACGCGCTTCGCAATCTGCGTACCAACAACCTTCCTGTGCTCCCTCCTAAACCCTCCGAGCCGGATTTCAGTCTTCGAAACCCTTAAATATCTCTTACACATGTCCACTTACCACTTGTATATACTATTGACTATTGTCAACGACATTAAAGCTTATACTAATTACAAAAATTTAGAAATTTTGTTATATATCTTACAAGAAAAATCTTGGCTAATACTATATGTTATTTAAAAGTGGTTTTAAGGATTTCATGTGTGTGTGTTTGACAAAAAAAAAAACAAAGAACGTGTTAACCAGTAACATACAATTTATCATGTTATTTTATCTACGAGTAATTTGTTCTATATATATTTATTAGATTCAATTGGAGTATCATTTACCTGATCATATTCATACATTATCTTCTTAGAATGTAGACAATAGTTTGGTCAAATTGTACCTAGAAAATCGATTTCTCCTAATAAATCAAAACAACGTTGACAAAACAAAAAAACAAAAAAATTAGATTGACCGACATAAGAAGGGGCCAATCCGTAACCGACTAAGATTCAGACAATATAAAAGCCCTTTTAGTCATAAACCCAAAAGTGTGGATAAGATAATTATCTTAGCCCAACAAGCAGTGAGAGAGAGAGACACTTATTAGGGCTCCGTCAATTTTCCCCAATTTCCTCTCTGATTCCTCTCCAGAAATCTTCTTCTTCTTCTTCTTCGTCCAAGCTTCCTTTAGAATCGAAATCGATGGCGGATCAGAGCTCTAAGCCGTTGCAGTTTTTCGTGAGACTACTCGACGGAAAATCATTAACCCTAAGTTTCTCCTCTCCATTAGCTTATGGCGAGCAGATCAAGCAGCGGATCTTCGAGCAAACGAAGATTCCGACGCATCTACAGCGATTGATAAGCGGAGGTTATCAAATCTCCGACGGATCCGCGATTTCTCAGCCTGACACCACCGTGAATCTTGTCCTTTCCCTGCGTGGAGGTAAAGGAGGATTCGGATCGTTACTTCGTGGTGCGGGTACGAAAGCTGGTCAGAAGAAGACAAACAACTTCGATGCGTGTAGAGATATGAGTGGACGGAGATTGAGGCATGTAAACGCCGAGAATAGGCTTCAGGAGTGGAAGGAAGGTGAAGAAGAGAGGAAGCTTGAGAAATCGGCTCTTGAGTTTCTCAAGAAGCAAGCCAATAAAGTGAAACAAGGTGTTGGGAATGGAGCTACGCAGAAGTATGTTAACAAGTATAAGGAAGAATCTGATAAGTGTATTTTGGCTGTTGATTTGGCTTTGAACGAATCTTTCAAGAATGGCAAGAGAAAAGGGAAGATTGGTGCTGACTCTGAAAAGAAGAAGCGACTCAAGATATGGTATGCAATCTCTTTTTCAATGATTTAGAGAATTTGATAGTTTATGAAGCTTCTTAAGTTGATTGATTGTTAAAGTTGTTCCTTTTTTTTTCTGTAATTGTGATGCTAATGGTGGGTATTTAGGTTCAGTAGTCTCGTATATTGTTACTTGAGTTCTTCATATCTCTGTTACTTGCCATTGATGATGTGTTTATTTTTTCAGGAAGGGGAAGAGAGCTGTTGAAGATAGTGACAGTGATGATAGCAGCGACGAGGAGGATGAGAAATCTGTTGTTATAAATAATGGTGGCCAAGTTGTTTCGGATAAGGATACTGATGAAAGCTCAGGCTCTGTTGTGGATGGAGTACATGATGGTGATTCTTCTGGTAAATCTCTATGCAATAGCGGTTCGGAGGAAGAGAACGACTTTGTAGTGCACCACCGAAGATTAGATGTGGTTATCACCGGTGTTCAAGGGATTAACGAAGAGAAGATGGATGATTTACCTGTTGCTGTTGCTGTTGCTGATGCAATGGATCAACCTGAAAAGGTGGAGAAATCAAGTGGAGACGCAGGGAAGAATCTGGTCGATGTAGCTTGTGAAACATTAATTACGTCTGCAGCTGTTAAGAATCAAGGAAATGATTCTGTTGTAAAGAGAGGAGGAACTGCGAAAGAAACAGTGTCAGTTGATGCAGTTTGTTGCAAACCTGTTGGACCGCTTAACTTTGACGACTTCAATTCAGCTACAGATATGGAGGTATGTGTGTAATTTTTTATACGCAAGTTAAAAACCGAGTTGGTGTCTTTGAATTTGAACTATCAGAAACTTTAATTGCTTTGTATAACGGTGTGTCATATAGTTCATGTGTTGCATAAATCACACTACTAAACCTATATTGAATCCATCTGTGATTTGGTTTCAGGTTTTGGGGATGGAGAGATTGAAGACTGAGCTTCAGTCACGTGGTCTGAAATGCGGAGGGACATTGCAAGAGCGGGCTGCGAGACTATTTTTACTTAAATCAACACCACTCGATAAGCTCCCAAAGAAATTGCTGGCCAAGAAATGAAGAACAACATCCTAAGTCCAAAAAAGTGACTACCCTTTTGAAGTTTTTTTGCTTATAGTACAATAATACAATCCACATTGTGTAATATCAGCTGTAATTGTCACTAATCCACCAAGATAATCGCTTTCGCAATGACTATTCTCTTTTTCCCATTTATCTTCTACAATATAGAAATCTTTCTTTTCTCTTTTTATCGAATGATCAGAATGACACAATTCTGTCCACGTCCATGAACAAAATCCTGTGGTTAGAGAAGAGTTTCTGATCGAAGACAACAACAACAACAATCTTCCCAACTCCTAAGAGGGCACATATAGATCTCTTGCTTATTATTGTTGCCAAAAGCTTGATTTTGTCCGAACCAGAGTATGTAAAGCAACATGTTGATTAAAACTTGAAGTTAACCGATTCTTTTACATGATTCTACAACTCTGTAGTTATAGCTTATGCGTGTACCATACGTGGCAAGCAAAGCCTACACAACCCGTGTTTATTAACTTATCTTACATTCTCCTCAACTCTTCTATTTTAAAGTAGAGGAAGAATCTTACTTTTGATGGTACAACAAGTCAAATGAGTAGGAATAGTTTACGGATCCAAAAAACGTGGGAATTTTTCCTGTAACAAATCAGAAAAGAGGTTGCTTAGATTTAATCTTTGAGGACAAACAAAGTCGTACAATGTGGAGCATAGATGTCCAATTTGAAGAACAAACCTTGTCATTTGTTAGGCATCACTGCGTCGTGGAGTTTTGCATTAGCTCATTTAACTCTCTTATGGCTGAGCTCGCAGCATAAAGCGCTATTTTCTTAAGCTGCAATGCAGTGAGAAGAGAAGTGATTAGAGGTTAAGCTGAAACTAGAATTTTAGCTTCAAAACGTGTAAGTACCTCCAATTTATCTTCGCTAGATCTGTGGTCTTTAGGTAATCTCCGGAACTCCTGTGTTAGCCTAAGGCATTCTTCAACGCTTTCAGGAGCCACAAAGTCTAGTGCCACCTTTATGCAAGACTGGAAACAGTCTGAATTTTAGGACCATTAACATAAAATGTTGATTTTTTTTGGCTTTTTGAGGAAAAAAAACAATGAATGAGAAAATCTAGATGATGATAGAAGATGCAAGCTCCAGATTCATAAACATGATATGTAAAAAGGGAATTGCACCAATTGCTTACCTGTCTATTCCTCACTTGGTGAGGACAACCTGCAGGTATGAAAACAGCTTCGCCGAGGTGTTGCTCAAAGGTCCATGGTTCTATATCTGCATATGAATAAACATATATTCACCGTTTGCCATAGCACAGAAGATAAATCAAGAACATAGTATGGTTAAGCGGCACAGGTTTTATGTACAGACCAGAATCTTACCAAATTCCTCCTTCAGCTGTTTCTTCTGGCTTTCACTCAAGAACATAGTCTGGTCATGAATTGGGTGAATAACCTGAATTTAAACAGTGCACCAAAGTTTAGATTTCTCACACATTAGTGACTAATCCAATACGAATCATTTACAAGAGATGTATGAGATGATACTTACGGATTTCACGGGTTCGTTATTGATGTGACGAAACTCATGCTTGTGCCTTTTCAAAAACTGAATAAGTTTTGGAACATCCTCTCTTCGAAAGATATCCCAGACAGCACCACCATGCACAGCCTTTGACCTCTCATTGGCATTGCCATCTGTTTTCTTTTGAACATCCAGCTTCTGCTCTTGTATGGATTCCACAATTATACTCACAGCAGGTTGTGTGGGATTATCCTCTGTATCACACGGGGGAGTTGCAAGAAGTGTTGGCATCATTAGTCCATTCTCCACTGAGGGATCATCTTCTCTTTGGTATTTTGGAGATAATCTCTCTGCCTTTACACAGATGTCATGATCTAGTTCCATAGCAGTAAAGCAAGATGGTGAACCAGAAGACCCTTCCATAGGATCAGCTCTTTCAATGTTCGTACAGTCACCTGAGATTAAGCTATATTCAGTAATATATGTATTTATACATAAGAATGGGAAAGCTCTCTTTCAAAATTCTCGCAATACCTTTTGAACTAATCACTTTCTCAACTTCTTGTGAGCCCGGTCTTGAACTGTTATTTGATTGTTCTTCGTTAGCTGTCTTGTCCTTTAAATCCTGTTTATCTTCATCCACTTCTTTCAGTGACTTGTTTTCAAGTTCGCTGGCTTCTGTCACTTGACCACTGTATTGTTGTTTTTGCAACATCGCTTCTGCATTATTTTTCTGATGTACTTTTATGTTTTGGTATTTGGCGGGAGGGATTTCCACTTTAGCTGTGTGTGTCAACACATTGACCTAACCCACAATTATATAGAACAATTAATCTCCGAAGTACAAGGGATAGAATGGACAGCCCAGTTTCAGTATGAAAACTCTTAAAAACACCTCAGAAAGTAAAAATCCATGGTTTATGTCTCTGAATAATTAAGAAAGTACGAAAAGAATTGGTGCACGTACCGCGTCAGAAATATCACAATGTAGTTTTGTCACCGAATCTCCTCTACTAAGCTCTTCATGGAAACCGTACGCAATGTATGTCTTGGGTCCAAGATCTGGCTTCAAGGATTTTTCTGGAAGTCTTGTTGCGAGATTTAGGATACCAGACTTTGGGTCAGTGTAATCAAAGAAAGGCAGTGCAGCAATAAACTCAGCATTATGCCTTGGAAGGCGCTTTTCAAATAAAGTTGATGGAGGCCAATCCTTCAATTTCAACATTTCTGGCCAACCGTTTTTATGCATGCGGCCTTCTAAGTAGCCGTCAAAAAACTGATGAATATTTATTTCAACCTACAAGAGAAAGGGATGGTTATGTGTATACTTCTTAGAGAGCATTTACATCAAGTATTAAACACAAGGAATTGGGTTGACTGACCTCACACCAGTCCAAGCAATCCAAAGCTTTGACTTTTTTCGTCTCTTCTTCGTTACATTTAAGCTTTGGATCCATTTCCCTACAAGCCCTCCACATAACCATTGGTTCCCAACTTAGTCCAGATGTCTTCTCGAGAACATTTCTAACTATCACAGGTTCTGCCCTCATCCAATGCGACTGAAAATGAGCAATATCGTCTTCAGCCAGATCAACAGCATTTGGGGAGTATAAGAAATTATCATGAGCATTCTTTCTAAACGCTGCCTGTCTTCTAATGGAATCAGAACTGGTAGTGCATGAGGAACATTCATGAGCAATATCCACATCTGATGGCCTAAAATGCAGAGTACATTCCTCGGCATTCGTTATTAGTTTTTCAACCCAATCTTTTTTCCATAAGCGTCTCAACTCCAGTGTTGAAGTACCACAACCACCACACTCTTTTGGAGGGCATGGAATGCTACTGTCTGAATTAAGCTTCCAAGTAGAGAAATGCAGTGGAACATAGGCTTCCGAATCTTTTCCTTGACCTGCTTGGATTCGCCATTCATATCCTTTCCCTTCTGCATTTTTGTTCCCATCTCTCTCTTGATGGAATCCCTCACTCAGTTCCTTGCAGCAAGAAAGACATATATCGACTGAACAATCTGGGTTCGGACAGCTTCTGTAAAAATTGGCAATGGATGTGCGGCAGAGATCACTGTAGTACAGGGATGAAGAGATTGTCAACAAACAAGGAAACATAAAGTAATGCGTAATGCACCATCAAGAATCATAGAAAAATACGTTAATTCGAATATGAGATACAATTCAAAGAAACAGATTAACAAATGTGTTTTTATCGATGGCTAACGAAACTATCTCCTGTTTTATTCAATATGAAACGTCTTCACGTGTTCTGGACATAAAAGAACAAAATGAGCAGTAAACCCCATATACCAAATCCCAAAGATACCCAAAAGTATCCCAACAAGGTATAGAACCCTTGTATTCCTCGGGCATATGATACTGATAATGATGAAACAACTCTCAGCCCATTGCTTTGCCTTCACATGTGAAGCTTATTTTCGTTCAAATGAAAATACAAGAAAAAGGAACAACATAAAACTATAATGATCTTATTAATCACTTCCCAATTAAGTCAACCTACTTATTCCCTCAAACCATTCCTTTTCATTGTTCCACTGATTTAACAATTTGATTGCTATCAGTGCTGCCCACCCAAAAAAGGCCTTGTCCACAAAACTATCAGTGCTACTCTCTGGAGGTAGTCTTTTGTGGGTAGATTTGATATCAGCTTCTTCTGCCTGAATTAGTTCCAACGTCTGAAGCTTTGTTTTTGGGACCACTACATTGGATGGAGGGTCCGACCCTCCATACACTTAAAAGACACCAAGACCATCAGATGGTCTGGTGTGCGTTGGATCAGTAAAATACTCAGCCCATGTTAGTAGAAGACCAGTTTTCTTCCAGAACCATTGAAGATGCTGTTCTTCCCGCCTCAGCATCCATCGGCAGGATGATTGTTTCCACGTCGCTTCCAATTTCTACAGGATCAATAGGTGTTGGCCCTCATTAATCGAGGTTCGTGGAACCTGAATTAGGTTTGAGAGCAACTTCCTGAAGACCATAATGGACTCCTCCTGAGACGTCAACCTCTAGTTCACCTATTGTAGGTTCTTCTTTGTTGCTTCCAACCATGCCATCCTTTGAGAGCAATTTCCCACAGAACAAACCAATTTGATAGCGTAAAGAACTGATAAAAAAGATTTTTTGATAAAACGAAAACAGTGCAAAATTTACCCCACAAGAGATTTACTCTGCCCCCAAAGATACCTGAATGTATCCTACCAAGGTGTAGAACCCTTGTCCCCTCGGCTAAACAGATATTTATGAAAACGGCTCCCTTCTCATTGCTTCCCAAGTGAATATTATTTAAAATCAAAGGACAATACAATAAAAATGAATCTACTTGATGAGATCATAATCTCATCAGTCATCTACCAATCAAACCACCCAGACTACTCCCTCCAAATCATTCCTTTATTTTTCATTGATTTAAAAATTAGATTGCTATCAAATCTCCGCACGAAACTGGTGATACAAGAAACAGTATGAAAACTCGATAACTTTGGTTTTCCCCAAGATAAAAGATCAGCCAAAAAGGAGCTCCCTGGGATTTGAAATTTTACCAGTATATGCGTTCACTTGGGTCAAGTTTGCACCTATTAATATCAGCTTCTGTCACAGGGAGTCCTAGAATAAAACAGGTACGTGAGTGGAAAATAGAAACAGAAAGAAATAAGAGGATGGCACAAGTGAAGACAAAGAGCCCCCACCTCTAATAGTTGCTTCAATCTCAAGTTCACGGTTCTGCTCCATATAAATATCCTTAAGAATTGGGAGAACTTTAACTAATAGATACTGCAACTGCTTAAACATGACATTTGTTTCTTTTTCACTTCGAGGCTGAGAATTAGAAAAAAAAAAATCCAAAAATGAAGGAGACATTTCATCACAGTAGATTCACAAGAAAACAGTGATCCCTCTTACCTTGACAACCAAAGGCAACCGCAAACAACTTCTGCAATTGCAATTCTTCATACAGAATGGACAAGCAGCTCTAACTTCCTCTATTGTTCTTTCTGAATACCTATCAAGATTCAAGATAGTGTAAATTAAAACTCTCCTGACTGGTTAAGGAAGGAAACTGCAAATCATAAACTCGTATAACGTAATACTAAAGAGTGCAGATACTTACCATCTCTTGATACACTCATTGCAATACTTCTTGTTACATTTTGAACAGAAGATAAGATCACTCTCACTCGTCAAGTTCTTACAATGATGACACGTCAAACCCACATACTTTCTGCTTCCCTCAGACTTAATATCCTGGAAGAAGCAATGTTCACAAACATATTCCTCTTTCAAATTCGAACTAAACAAAATTCAGCCAAATTTGCAGCTAAATAATTGCATGAGAAAGCAAACAAAGGAAACTTAAACAACTCCACAGAATCATGAACATACCCAGAAATGCAGAATCAAGCTCTTTACAAGTATTTAGAAATGCAGAAGTTGAATGAAGCAATTATTACAGAAATGAATTAACCTTCTCGGGATTAGACATGTCGATTTCAATAGATCGCTTCGAAACCTCTCCGCCATCAAATTTTCTTCTTCCTCTTCCTCTTCCGATTCGTCCTCTGCTCACAACATCATTCTCTTTCTCCCTCGCCTTACGCGCGTTTTGAGATCTCCCATCTTCGAATAACTCGTCGGAATCTCCTCGTCTGATTCGCTTCCCTTTCCTTTTCTCCATACTCGGAGACAAAAAAAAAAGCGACCACCAGAGTTTCTGAGATGGTCGTTATTTCATCGATCTATTAATCGCCGTCGCAGCTTTGGGACTATCATCAAAATAGCTAAAGGAGAGTGACGTGGCAACCATCCAGAGGGTAGTATGGCTTTAAAGTCGGATCGGATGGTCTACTTCGTGATCCGTACGTAATTAATTAGGGAAAACAAGACGTTTCTTTACTTTTTACTATTCTACCGTTTTTAACTTTTTGTTATCTTTCCAAATTCAACCAATTTTTAAAAAATCGGCTAATATAGATTTTTCTCTAGCTAACCAAAGTGGTCCGGTGGTTATTGATATTGTAAATGGGTTTTCGCCTAGGCTCTTGGACTCTTGGGTTAGAGAATTCAATTCATGGGCCAATTTTCATTTTAAGTGCTGCGGGTTAATAGGCGCTACTCTTATTTTTTAAGAAAATCGTTTTTATTACTTATGGATTGTTCAGTCTCATGTTAGGTACGCACACTGTGAGTATTGTCGAGGAAATAAGTGATGTTTTCTTGAAATTGTTGACCATTCAAACGAAATGTGAAATGCACATTGGTGGCCATTAACTAGCTTTTAGAGGTGATTGGAACATACTTGATTGATGTATTATCTTGATTCCGAAGCTATGACTACTTTTGATCGATCTAGTTTATGAATTTACTTTTAACACCGCTTTCTGGATATTGTTACTACCATCACAGTTCAGTCTGGTTTTGGGTTTTCATAAGCAGTGATAAGCTTTAAGAGCAAACCTTTCTTTTGTTAGCATCACTGCGTTGTGGAGTTTTGCATTAGATCTTTTGCTTCTCTTATGGTTGAGCTCGTAGCATGCAGCACTATTTTCTTAAGCTGCAATGCAGTGAGAGGACAAGTAAAAGGAGGTTAACATGCATAAGCTCAAACTAGACTCTCTTTAGCATATATGATTCAGATATAATGAAATATTTAAAGTACTTCTAACTTATCTTCGTTGCATCTGTGGTCTTTTGGTAATCTCCGGAACTCTTGTGCTAGCCTAAGGCATTCTTCCACGCTTTCAGGAGCCACAAAAGCTTGTGCCACCTTTATGCAAGACTGCAACAGTATGAATTTTAGGATCAATATATAACATTTCAAATGCCACTAGAACCGGGGAACACGAATAAACAAGTCTAAAACAAAATAGAGATCAAGTTAGTCACAATAAACTTTTGGATTATCACCGTATTCTTTGTTTACCTTCCTTTGTTTGGGCTTAATTTCTGAAGATATGTTTGTTTTCCGCTGACTTAGTTTTTTTAAGGGTTTGACTCTTACTGGCTTTGTGTATCAAAACTGTATCCCACCCGTATATTTCTCGTATCCCACCCCTGCATTATTATATAGTGGAAACGATTTAGATTGGGCAAAGAAAAACCCATAAATTTAGAAATATATACTATTAACTGCACAGGCAATAGCAAAAAGGTTCTATGGTCTAGCGGTTAGGACATTGGACTCTGAATCCAGTAACCCGAGTTCAATTCTCGGTAGAACCTCATTTTTTTTCCCACTCCGGCCACACTTTTCCCCGGCGATTTATGAACCCTAGAAATAAACGCCGGCCAACAACTTAAACTCTACGCTACATTAGAATCTCCATTGATCTCAATACTACTGCGAAATCTTTTTTTTTTTTCGGGTAATATGGAGAATTCGTTGGTTGATTCTGGTGAAACTATGGAGATGGTTACTATACAAAAAATCGAGGAAACAGTGAAGGGCATACTCAGAGAAGCTGATATGGACCAAATGACAGAGTTCAAGCTCCGAATTGACGCTTCGGCTAAACTCGGTTTCGATTTATCGGGAACGGATCACAAGAAGCTAGTCAGAGATGTTCTTGAGGCCTTTTTGCTATCGTCTCCCGGTGAAGCAGCCGTAACGGAGACGGTGGCTCCGGCGAAGAATGAGACAGGTTCTGGTGCTGTCGCTTCCGTTGGTGGTGAAGATGAACGCTTTATTTGCAAGGTTGCGACTTTTTCTTTTGTTGATGTTTGATTCACAGTATAGAGTCGAGATTGTGATCATCTTTATTTTGAGTTTTCAGTGGTCACTGTAGAAATTGTTGGTCTTTAACTGTAGTTATCGGAGAAGCAAAATGCGACGGTTCAAAAATACAGAGACCAAGCTTTTCTATCGATTGGTTCTCAGGAAAATGGAAAGGCTTTTAGAGGTAATTTGAAACACACTTGGTGTCTTGGTCTTGACTATGAAGCTATAAGTAGCCATTTTTTGTTCTAGCTATGCTTTTGTTGATTTCAATTGTTTGTGTTTCTGCTAGATTTTGCTCACAGATTCTTCTTTCGATTATTTCCTCTGCTAATGTCGACTTCATGCCGCAACTCTGGTGCTGAAAAAGCTTTCATGTTTCTTCTCTCTCAGGAGCACATTTGTCAACTAACCAATGGTCTATAATCAAGAAGAATTTTGCAGCGATAGAGGATGGTATTAAGCAGTGTCAATCAAAACTAAAGTAAGAATATTACTTTATTCAAGTCTATAAAGATGCATGTTCCCTATCATTGCTTTTAGTGTTTATCGTCTCTGTATTTTTGAACCGTCGCAATGCAGGCCGCTTATCTTTGCTATAAAAACGTCATGTAGATCTGAATCAGTACAAAATGGAGATACTTCTGAGGCTGTGGAAAAGAACAGCTCTCACGGTTTTACGTTTATCAACATTTCACGATTTGATGGGAAGAGTTATCTTTCCTGGGCATCACAGATGGAACTCTTTTTGAAGCAATTGAATCTGACTTATGTTCTCTCTGAACCTTGTCCCGGTACTGGTAGTTCTCCAGGCCCTGAAATAACTCGAGCTGATTCTGCGGGAAAAAAATGGTTGAGAGATGATTACATGTGCCACAATCACTTGATGAACTCCTTGTCAGATCATCTATACCGTCGATACTCAAAGAAATTCAAGCATGCCAAAGAATTGTGGGACGAGTTAAAATGGGTCTACCAGTGTGAGGAATCCAATTCAAAGAGGTCACAAGTTAGAAAGTACATTGAATTCAGAATGGTGGAAGAGAGACCGATACTCGAGCAAGTCCAAGTCTTTAACAAGATTGCGGATTCCATAGTGAGTGCTGGTATGTTTCTTGATGAGGCATTTCATGTGAGTACAATCATCTCCAAGTTTCCCCCGTCGTGGAGAGGTTTCTGCAACAGACTGTTGGAAGAGGAGTTTATACCAGTCTGGATGTTGATGGAACGAGTAAAAGCTGAGGAAGAGCTTCTCAGAAATAGAGCACGAGGGGTTACATATAGACCAGCCACAGGCTCTTCTCAGATGGAAAGGAGACCGAGTCTAGGAACAACACATAGAGAATCTCAGAGTATAGGTTGGAAGCGGAAAGAACCCGAGAGAGACGAGAGAGTCATCGTCGTCTGTGACAACTGTGGGAGGAAAGGACATCTCGCAAAGCATTGCTGGGGTAAGAAATCTGATGAGAGAGCTTCCGGGAAGCCAAACCGTATTAACTCTTCAGTCCATGCACCTGTGGAATCAGAGACTCAAGCAACAACCAACAATGATAAGGAGTAGTAGCTGATGATTGCTGAAGACAAAATGTTTATATCTCTGGATTGAATGGAAGATGAGAGTCAAGATCCATTTCAAGAGGAGCAGCCTCATCTTTAACATCTTAAATCATCAGTTACCTTTTTCTCAGCTTATCTTTATGTCTCGCCTGATGATATTAGATTTGTTACTCTATAGTTGAGGACACTGAATTGTATAAAAGGAAAACAAATAGATTGGAAGTAGATCAGTTTTGGCCTGATTTAATGTAAAAGTAACTTTTATGGATGAGAATATTTGTCAAAATTAGTTCTTAAATCCTATATGGGGGAACAAAAAAACGGAAACCTAGCAGAAGGACTATATTCAAAACTGGTTTTTAATCACATAACAAATCTTTCACAACAGAACCAAAAATCATAGTGACATTTTGAATTAAAATTTACAGCAAATAGAAATTTTCATTTTTGTCTTTTACACAGTAATTTAACGAGCATAGAACTCAGTAATTGTAACATCATTCAAAGACGCAATATGATTTATCTGATTGTTGTATCTTGGAAATGATTCTCCATCTCCCGTGTAAAAAGCGGGTTGTGAGGGTCTCGGTAAAGTGATAGCATTTGCATTGAGCATTACAACAACAGAAGCCATTGTTGGTCTACTCTCTGCATTCTCCTGGACACAACAAACCATTTCGTGATTTCATCACTTAGACCTCTTGTTTCAATCAAACTTGGATCTACAACGTTTATGTTGGATTAAAAAGACATAAGAGTGATACGATGTTTCTCCTTGTCTTATGTTGTTATCTATCAAATAGATCATTTTGCAAAGGAAAAATGATCATGAGTTACACAAAGTATAGCTCAGCATGACCAATGACCATACATTTAGACGAAGTTTTGAATTTAGTTTGGGATCCCTTGATTACCAAAATATGATTACAGCTTTAAAAAAGGATGATGTGTTTTTTTCTTAAATGACCTAATAATTGGGCTTAGATAGTTAGCCTTGCAAATAGTATTGGGTTCTAATACAGGCCTTAACATTTACTCTTTTCAATTCTATTGATGGGTTACTTAACGTTGCCTCCCGAAACCCTAATAACTTTCGATACCCGTTATGAATTTCTTCTCGCGGTGAAGAAAGTTTGAGATAGATCCCAGAAATCCGTCGAAATCCGATTCACTCGAATATAGTCCATGTAGACATATTGTCACTACTTTACGTAGGAATGAAACAAAAAGATCGCTTCAATGCATAAGGTTCTGTGTCCTTAAAACGTTCTTTATTAATTGAATATGTAACGGTTATGGGGTCTATAATTCTGTTTTTCATTTCACATAATCTAGAGGGTTAGTTTTCGTTGAGTTTTACTTGCTTATATTGGTATCTGAGTATCTGACTTACTAATTTCCATGATTTTTGGTATCCAGAAACACTGTTCATAGAGGTGTTAAGGACATTCGTTCACAAAACGAGAAGGTAGGTAATCGCGTTTACTGGATTAATCTTTATTACATTTTCTACTAAATATATTGAATTGCTCTTGCTCTCCCCATTCGGAGATGTGTCTGCGTGAAATCGTTCAGCCATCTATAAGTATGCATAAGCTATTAATCGAGCTTGATAATTAAGCAACATAGCGTATAGTGTCCATTTTGCAGTATTCTTGTCCTTAAACCGTTGTACTACATAAGTCCACCATATGATTTTTTGAACTATCTGATTCACGTTTCCATAGTTTAAGTTGCTGCCTTTTTCTTTGTTTATCTCTGATTTGAAATTATTCTCTTTGAGACATATTCTTGATTGATCAAGTTCTTTTTCCCTTTGATGTCCCTCTTTCTTTTTCCTATAATTCAAATGTCATTCATCTTTTTTTGAAATTGTTAAGTGGAGGGATAATAACGAGACTGGACATGGAAGAAAGTTCCAAAATAAAGTAGCTCATACTCTTAAGGATAAAATCTTTAATGTTTCTTTGGAACCTTCATTTTCATTTCTTTAATACTTTTGTTTATTGTCTGTGCTCGTTCAAAAAAACTCTATTACGTTACAAAACTCTCTTTTGGGCCTTTGTGCTCTGTCTTAATTTTCTTTTGTTATTTACTCTTTTCTTTGTCAGAACAACAATATCTAGGCAAGAGGTTTTCAAATTCTGTAATCGTTATCATAGAGTTTCACTATTTCTATTTGTTTTTAGACAGAAAAATGTTGTCTTGATTGAATCAAGGCTCTTTTCTTAGAAAAAAAAGAAATGCATGTCGGCTTTCATCTTACTTTTTTGAGATAAGTAAATTAAAAAGTAAACTAAAGGTAATGTTTATTCATCACATGCATTTGCATGTATATATGTATAAGTTAGTTATCCATTGCTTTTGCTAGGTTTGTTTTTGGTGCAATAATGGCTAAATTAGTTAAGCCAGCTTGCAGATTGCAATTTGACTGCAAAGTTTCCCCACTTCCATAACTATATATGTGATCTCAAATCATTTCATTATGACGAGCGAACTCTTGACACCTATCCTTGTCAGTACTCTGCTTTATTTAGTCGTTTTTATTTTGCTTGAAAATGTCAAAAAAAGCTTTACTCATTTGGATATTGATTAGTATTACACAAAGTCTTTTCATTTGGATATATTTTCCCAAATGTTTCCACTGCTTTCATCATCATTCATTTGCTTTGGAGATAAGTCAAATGCTTTGACAACTAACTAAATATCTAACCTTTGTTTATTAGTATTGTCTAATCCTAGTCTTCAAATCTTTTTTGGTGAATTAAGTGTTAATTTATTCGGACCCCATTGTGATCTTGTTCTATATCACATTAATTACTTATATCGAGTAGTTTTACACTACCATTTTGATAGACATATATCCATACCAAGTACCAAATAAATGGGTCATTTGTTGGCAGTTTAGGTGTGGCTCCAGAGAAGATCCAAGTGGCTCATGTTTCTTCGGGTTACTTTGCTTTCATGATCTCTTCTCATAAATAATTTCTTTTGATGGATTGGTTCCCTTTGTTTTTCTCTTTATCGGAAAGTTACATGTATACGTTGTTTCTTTGCCACGCCTGATTTGAATTAAAGGCTCTCTGACCAAAACATCCAAGCCTGACTTTTGTTAAAGCATAAACCTATGTCACTTTCCGGCGACTTTTCTTTTTTTTTGCTCTTTGTTGAACCAAAACAAATTCCTAGATAATGTAGATAATTTATACTTTTCAGAAAATTTACATACCACATAGCCACATAGGTTAACTATATACTGGACTTGTAAAACCATTAGTACAAGTTGAAATATCTTAGACATTTGTTTTGTTTGTATGAAAAATATAGTCAAGAACTGTTTTTTTTTTAATGTTTTCTTTTCAACTTGTTTTTCTTTTCTTTCTTTTTGGCTTTCAACTTTGCTTCTTTAGTTCTTTTTGATAAGAGACACATATTGTTCCTAATCTTTATTGTCTTAAATTTTGAAAATGCCCCAATTAAATTTTCTTTTTAATTGCCCCTTTAATGTGCTCCCTGACTCCCAAATCTACACGAAACACTAGAAATAGAGAAAAAGAAAAACCCGCAGATAAAGACAGAGCATAAAACACTTGTAGATATAAAAGACACACACCTCAGAGAAGAGAAGAGCAGAGAGAGAGAGGGAGATCCAACTTCCACATAGAACCATGGAAGCTGAAAAAGAAACTGAGCAAGAAGGAAACTTATCAGTAATGATACTTCCTGTGTTACCAATCAAACCCAACACTCACAGCCACTCTATGTCATCACCTATTCACAGTTCCATATCAGCTTCAGTCCCATTTAGCTGGGAAGAAGAGCCTGGCAAGCCCAAGCAACACTCTTCTTCTTCTTCCTCTTCCTCCTCTTCCTCACCATTAACTTCTTATTCTTCATCTCCTTTTGAAACCCACAAGTCCTTGGAGCTACCACCAAGGCTTCACTTACTTGAAAAAGATGGAGGATCAGTTACCAAACTTCACTCGCCTATAACAGTCTTTGATGGACCTTATAGCATGACGAGATCAAAAAGGATGGATTCACCTTCTTTTAGGATGATGGTGAAAGGTAGTGCTGATTGTTATGGGTCTTTCAGGAGTGACATCTATGGGGATTTAGATGATGTGGAAGTGGACTCTAAGCAGCAGGAGAACTTGAGTAGTGTCTCTTTGGCTATTGTAAAGAAGCGAGGGAGATTAGGGTTTTTTGGGTTTAGGAGGAGGAGAGCATTGAAGGGAAAAACAGAGTTTGGTAGAGGTAGTTATGTGTTTCCTTCTTCTGTAGACAGAGAGAGTGAATACAGCAGAAAAGAAGAGGAAGAAGTAAAAGAAGACAAAAGCTTTGGTTATGGTGATGGTGATGGTATTAGTTGCAGCCATAGCAGCAGATTTTGTGAAGTGACGATGACCTCAAGCATTAGCAGAACAGGGAGCTTCTCTACTCTGCCTGCACCAACTTCTTCTTCTTCAAAGTCTCACTTTTGGGTAAGTCCTCTGTTTTTTATGTTCTGTTTCTACATAAAAGTCGCATAAATGTTTGAAAAATCTATATGTTAGATGGATTCAACTAGATCATATAATCAGCGTTACTAGATCCTATGAAAATATTCTTGAAATATCATGAATGAGAGCTCTTTGTGTATATTATATACATATATCGATTGTCCTAGAAGTGAATGTAGAATATGTTTGAACTTAATATTGTTTTGTGGTTGGATCAGACGAATGTGTATGCAGGACTAAAGCAAGTGGTTCCATGGAAGAACAAGAAGACTACAGGTTAAGAATGTTCTGCCCTATCAAAGATTCGAAAGATAAAACACCAAAAACCAAGAAAGCTCCTCTGGTTTCTACAAGTATTTTCAAGCTTTTGTTTAAGATTTTTTTCAATATTTCCAAGAAAATGACATGACTAGTAAAACCATTGTGAAACCCAGTTTTTTCACGCTTGTTGTTGTTGTGATTGTAATGTTTGAATGTTTTTGAAACTTTTGTAAAGAGATAGAGAATCTTACGAGATGTAGCATGGCTTCATGAATATGGTACAAGCTAGGGATATTCATCACGTTTGTAACAAACAAAGCAAGAACCTTTCAAGGCCTATTATATATGTAACCGTCTTGATCATATCTGCTTTCTTAAAAGCTCTCTTAGTTGAAACAAAACCAGACAGAATTGATTCCGGTTAATGATAAAAAAAAACATATCGAACTTAGATTTTCGTCAAATAAGTAATTAAACCAGACAAGAAAAGAAAGCATCGCAAAAGTTGTGCAGTGGAAACGACATGAAGAAAACGGAGGACCAACATATTTATTAGTTGAAAGATTTCAAGAATCAATCAAGAAAATTGAAGCTTCTGCGTGATCACTAAAACGACATCGCACATGCGAGTTTGCGACTTTTTGCTTACACGTAGATATGTGTGGTGGACTCGGTCCGTCGGTCGTCTCAAAGAAATTGAGAAGGCCCCAAACAAGCAAGTTAACGTTATCACAATTTCATTTATTGGGCTAAAGTTAAACATGCGGCCCATTTTGAAGCTCGTTGATATGACCTAAGCTCGTAATAAGTCGTAACAAAAGAAATATATTATTTACTGTCCAAAAGCATTACAGGATTAACGTATATATTCTTTCAATCAAGGTTTTAAACTTTTAATTACCTTTTAAGACGCTAAATTTTATATTTAAGGATTTCTTATCGTTTGATTCATTTGACAAAATTAGATATTTTAATTTTTTTTTATCGCGTTGCTAGTTAGATGTATAGTTGTATACTTGTATTTGTATACTCTATTTTTTTTGGCCTGGAATGAAAATATCAATATAGTATGCTAAATATCAACTACTTATGATGATGATGATGATGATAAAACCACCTAATAAGAAAAGAGAGAACTAAAAGATAGTCAAAACAAACACACCACTAAAATGCCCATAAAAGTGAAACCCAACACTTCTAAACTTTAGCCTCAAAAATATTCCTCTCTCTCTCTCTCTAAGTCATCCCTTTGAACATCAGGTCAGTTCATCTTCTTCCCTTTTTCTCTTATCTCCTTGTTTCTTCTGCAAATTACTTTCTCTTTCTTTCTTTTCCTTATAAATTTCTTTTGCTTTTTGGTTTTTGTGTTTATTAGGGTTCTTTTTTTAAAAAACTTTTCAAAGGTCTTTCCACCACCTGATTTCTTTGAAATTTTGTTCCCTTTCTTAAAAAGATGTCTGGCTTTTTAGAGATCAGCTCCTAATACCTTTTTATTAGTTTCTTGTTCGATCCATACGTTAGAAAGTGATTGTTTGTTCCCACTCTCTCAGATCTTTTATTGATTAATCTAGATCGTTCATATCTTATATATGTTCTCTCTCAATAAGTTTTATTTATTTATTTGTATGTGCTACTTTTTATAAGATCCACTTTTGTTATCATGCCTTTATATGATTGATTCAATGGTTTCATCATACACACTCATTACAGGATTATAAACTATAATTGAAGCTCACATCATGGACCATCATCAGTATCATCATCATGATCAATACCAACATCAAATGAATATTACTAACAATAATCCCTATAACACCATCGTCACAACACAACCACCACCACCTACAACAACAACAATGGATTCAACAACCGCAACAACAATGATAATGGATGATGAGAAGAAGTTGATGACGACAATGAGCACTAGGCCGCAAGAACCAAGAAACTGTCCAAGATGCAACTCAAGCAACACCAAGTTTTGTTATTACAACAACTACAGCTTAGCACAGCCTAGGTACTTGTGTAAGTCTTGTCGGAGATATTGGACTGAAGGTGGCTCTCTCCGTAACGTCCCCGTAGGCGGAGGTTCTAGAAAGAACAAGAAGCTTCCGCTACTACTTCCTAATTCCTCTACTTCTTCTTCCACCAAGAACCTCCCAGATCTTAACCCTCCGTTTGTCTTCACGTCATCACCATCATCATCAAACCCTAACAAGACGCATCAAAACAATAATGACCTCAGCCTTTCATTCTCCTCCCCTATGCAAGACAAGCGAGCTCAAGGGCATTACAGTCATTTCACCGATCAAGTTGTGACAGGAGGGCAGAACTGTCTTTTCCAAGCTCCTATGGGAATGATTCAGTTTCGTCAAGAGTATGATCATGACCACCAAAAAAAGAATCTTGGGTTTTCATTAGACAGGAACAAGGAAGAGATTGGTAATCATGGTAACTTCGTTGTTAATGGAGAAGGAAGTAAGATTATGTATCCTTATGGAGATCATGAAGACCGTCATCAACATCACCATGTGAGACACGATGATGGTAATAAGAAGAGAGAAGGTGGTTCAAGCAATGAGCTATGGAGTGGAATCATCCTAGGTGGTGATAGTGGTGGACCAACATGGTGATATGATATATATATTGTCAAAAGGACAAGATGATAAAGACAAAAACAAATAGTTACGAGCAAAAATATGTGATTATATTTGGAATTTTCAGACCCGGAAGAGTCGCCTTGGGAGGAGCATGATGATTCTTCTTTCCACTTTCTATAAATTCCCCTGTTCACTTTCTTTATCTTTTGGCTAATGGAGCCACTTATTTGGCTTTTAGTTTGCTTCTTTAGGACCTTTTAAGTTTTAACACACAAATGTCTAGTGCCTATTATTGTATGTAGTCTTATATCATATCATATTTTTGTTTGATAGAGATGATCAATTATTTAGGTTTAGATACTAAATTACTTTTGCGGTGTTTCACGTTAAATATGTATAGACATCTATATTTAATAAGGAGTACGTGAGACATATATATGGGGCTTTTTTTTCCTATGTTCGACATTGCTACTTAATTTTGAGATGTTTTCTTCTTCTTTAATTTCGTAAACATGCATATAGTCCAAAATAAATTTGGCAACAATTGTCTTTATAAACACGTACTCCCTCTGTTTCTAGATATTTGAAGTTTTAGAGTTTTAGTTTGTTCCACAAAGTTTGATTTTTTAGGTTTTTGTTTTATTTTTTATTAATTAAAATTAATATATCGTAAATTTCAAAACGTAATGATTAACTGTTTTCTAATACTATTGGTTCAAAGTTATTAAAAAATATTTAGTATAAAAAAGTAATTGACAAATAATTAAACAATGATTGCTTCTTAATATATGTGAAAACTCTAGAACATCAATCTTGTAGAAACAGATGAAGTATATTTAAATCGTGAGTTATTACATGTGATTAAAAAAATAAAAAAAATGGTGAGTTACCTACAAAACGAAACCTTCACATAGCCGACAAAAAAAAACGAAACCTTCACATATCAACATATATGTATTCATAATTAATAGTATGTTTTAATTCATGAAAAAAGAGCACGTCCTTAATTATAAAAAAACGAGCAAACGATAATTATATAATGTTTACGTATAGGAATTTTAAAGTTTCGTAAACTAATATCCGTGGATCGTGTACTAATGATCTATATCTTAAATATATATTAGTAGGATTTAGGACGGGTGGTTTCTAGATCCTGCATGGCTCCGATTAGTTGTTGTGTAATGTTTGATTCACTTGAATTTGTGTGAGACTTATCTCGAAAGCGAAGTCTAGTTATAGGAAACTAATTAAGGAGACCAACTGTCCATCAAGTCCCGAGCAAATTGCGTACTGAATACAGCACGACGTGTAATATATATATATATATATATATATAAAATTATCATAAAAACTGCGATGTAACATAGTATTAATCTCATTATATTAGTATTATTTTGGCGTAATAAAAAGACACGACAACATACCTGCTCCAACTAAAGACTATTCCAATCACAAATCGTTTTCTCAAATTCCCACTGAGATTCTATTTCTATTTGCATTAATTTGTTTTTTTATTCGCATGAGAAGGCCAAAGATGACCCCTGTCTTTTTGCATTTTTAACCAAATAGACACACATAGTCATAGTCTCATAAAAATAAATTAAAAAACAGTAAGTTTTATACTTTTCCGCCAACGTATTATGCAATTTTTAAAATAGTAATACAGGCATAAATAGTTAATAACTTTGTTACTGTAAAAAAAAAAATTGGCCTTGAATGGTTACTAGTTTTTAAGTGGTTTTTGGTTTTTGTATATGGAAAAATCTAATTTTTTACTATTCAAAATTTTTAAAAATTAGATTCCCTAAAATTTAGAAAAACTAGTTTTTGAGTGGTTTCTCCAACCGTAATTTAGAGAAACTAAAACCGTAATTTTAAGGTTTTTGTGGAAAACTTCCCTTTTCAACGTGATTATGTTTCATTTTTGATTTTTTAATTTTTAATTTATTAATTTTTATATTTATAGCAAAAAAACAAAAACCAAAAATTTAAAAACCAAAATCCAAAATCTAAAAATCAAAGACCATTTAAAAACTAGTAAACATTCAAGGCCTAAACTTTGTTTTATAAGTCTCTAAGTAGATTTCCAAAGACACCACTTCTTTCTACAAAATTTGATTAGTAAAACCTTCTTACAAAAATGAACGTTCGGAAAAGATGACGATAGGAACGTGAAAGCATAAGGCATATATATTTAGGCAGCGTAGTTCGATCGAGACCAGAGCAGCAAGTTGATGAGGTGATGCAGAAGAGTGCAAGCGATAAAATACGAAATCAACAATCTCACCGATGGTTGCCATGTGGTACAGTGGTTGCTGTATAGAGACATAGCAAAATGTCGTTTTCCTAGTTAAATTCTCGCTTGGAACAATTCTGTTGATGTTGGAGCACTTAGCTCTTAGCTTCGGATCCGAATGGTTACTAGGTTGTTAAAAGAAATATCATTTTTGTTTATTTAGTTGGCTTGTAGCAATTTTAGGACAAGACGGTAGGCGACTGTATGAAGCCTTTTGGTAACAAGAATCAAGCAAGTTTGGACAATTTTGGACAATTTTTTGAACGTTGGTTATATTTAAGGGGAATCGCTTAAATTTTCGCTATTTTTCTAAGTTGATATCTACATTTTCTCCAACTATGTAAGTATTTCTTTTTATTGATCAATAAATTTTACATACAACAAAATAATTAGCAACAATGTATATCATACCGGTTTAGATTTAAAAAGCAATTCAAGGGAATTAAAGCTACTTGTCTTGGTGCAGCATTTTTCTAGCTACAATAATTATTGAGATGATGCAAATTCTTGGCCCGGATCCTGGTGAGGGCAAATGGCGTCGTTCACGAAACACACCGATTACGAACAGCTTACTGGACTATTAATGACACGTTCAAAGCTGGATTAAGTTGTGTAATAGGCCTAATAAAAGTTCATACCTATAAACCTATTACGAAAGGCCCAAACATTCATCTAACTAACCACTAACCAGATATGGACAAAGCTTTTGGTTTTACCTCAAAATAAAGATTAGAGATTTGATAAATATAGAGATTACACCAAAAAGCAAGCCTGCACTGTTGGGAATTATTTTAGCCTATTAAGGTAGGCTTAAAATCACCCTTTTAAGAATAATCGGACTGGCCCAAAGAGATATGCATCGGTGCCACGTAGCTATTTCTTATCATTCTAGCTTATCTTGTAGAGTTGTATAACATGTAAGTGAACGACTCGGCGTTGATGAAAGGAGAACTATCGATTTCTCTATATGAAAGTGTTAGAAAACGTTTAAAAATATTTCAGGGAAATATAGTTTTAAACTATCAAACTTTTTTTTTTTGAATGTAATGTTAAATTATATTCAAAAGAAAAAATAAACGTTTTTACAACTTGTGCAACGGTTTACTAAAAAAGGAACAGCTGAGAAAAAAAAATTTAAACATTTAGACAGCCCAGTAACTTAGATATGAGCTTTGATCCATGTTTGGAATGCTGTCTCATATCGCATATCTCCTTTTATGCGAATCGCCGAAATCTGATTCCTTACTTGCTTATCAATCCGAGCTATTAGACAATCTGCTGGTTGTGGACTCTCCCCGTGTCTTCTTCTATTCCGTTCTTGCCAAATCGTATAGACTACGACCACTACAAGAAAACATGGATTTAGCGACTACACTAGTCGCTAAAACACGTAGTCGCTGAACCTTGCGTCGCTAAATTTATATGTCGCATAACAGTCGCTATTTAGCGACTAATAGGCGACCATTATTTGCAGTCGCTATTCAGTCGTCACACAGTCGCTAAGTTTGCGACTCTTTTGGCGACTGTTTTGTGACGAATCTAGCGACTGTTATGTCACTACATGGCGACTATTTTCTAAATGTTTTGGTAACTGAATTGATACTACTTTGCGACTGATTATTATCGACTTAGAATGCTAATTTTGGAAGAATAAATTGTTGCTAATTTGATTGTTATTACCAATTTATAAGCAAAAAGACTTCTATTTAAAACATAAGAACATTGTAAAATAAAACACAACATAAACATACATTATAAACATAAGAACCAAGTTCAAGTAACCAAACAACTTACACAAGTTTTCAAAGCAACACAAATGTTTTCAAGTTCAGAGAAGGAGGGAAAGTTTAGAGAAGGAGGGACCTATGGTTGTTGAGCAGTAGGAATAGTAGCAGTAGTAGCAGCAGTCGTGGCAGCAGCAGTGGCAGCAGTCGTGGCAGCAGCGGTGGCAGCAGTCGTGGCAGCAGTAGTGGTATCAGTGGCAGCAGATTGAGACTTGAGGAAGGCCATAAACTTTGGGTCAGTCTCGCTCAAATACTTCTTCACCATCGCCAAATGCTTGATCTCAGCTGCTTGCTCAGCTGCGACCCGCAAAGCCTCTGCTTCACGTTCCGCTTGGAGCGCTGCTTGTTCCTCTATCTTCCGGTTAGCATCCTCAAGCTATGATTGGAGTGTTGTGAAAGAAGAACTGCTTCCTGGGTACTTGCGCTTCCCGTTGATGTAAACCCCGAGGCTGCCAACACCAAAGTATTCTCCTCTGTCGTTTGTGACAGTAGACTGCATACCAAAAGAAAGAGTATTACACAGTTAGACTGCATAACAAAAGCAACCATAAATAACAAACTATTTACCTGAAGGAAGATCTCATCATCCTCCTCTTGAGATAGCTCAGATCGTCGCGAAGTCCCATCTGCTTGTTCATCATTCTCTTGAAGGGCAGCCAACTTAGCTGCCTTGTTCTTGAGATATGTTTCATGGACTTCCTGCGCCTTCCTATCCACAAAAGTCCCATCCTTCTTGGTATGAGTCCTGATGAAAACTTCACCAATAGTAGGAGGTCTTCCCAATTCAACTTCCTGAAACAAAGTAAATATATAGGTCATAATGTAACTAAGTAATCTAAAACTAAAACAAAGTAAATAGGTCAGAATGTACCATCTCTTGCTCTATTTGTAAAAACGACTTTGGACCAGAAACATGCTTGTGAGGACCAAGACCATTACGGTCAGACATCCTAGCTGCTGATGTGGTTGAACTCTTTGCTAATGCTTCTTCAGTGTCCCAATAGGCACACATCTCTATCCAAAGTGTTTTCTCGATCCAATAAGGCCTCTCTCGTTTTGAACATGTCTTGCTAACCATGTCTTTCATCCGCAGCTGACAAATCTTGTAGAATTTAGCTTCAACAACACCTGTCACTGAGGGATGCCAGGTGTGTAGTTTCTACAAAACAAGAGTAGAGTTTGGTGTTAGTGATCAAAAAACAAAACAAAAGTGTAATTACATAAGTATAAGAGGAGACAGAATTTTACCGCGAATTCGAGGAAGTATCTTTCTCTTCTACCAGTAGGCACACAGCTCCAACTGTAATATGGCCCATCAAACTTGTTTGTGAAACATTTAGTGATCTCCCGGGTC